AGAAACTATTTGTTCTGTAAGCCTTCACCTGAAGTACAATAAAATAAACATAATAATAATAATAAAAAAAATCTATCATCAAAAAAACAAAAAAAAAACAAAAAAACAGCAAAGAAAGAAAAGACCAAAATGGATGTCAGAAGAGACTCTGAAACTTGCTCTTGAACGTTGAGCAGCTAAAGCAAAAAGAAGAAATGATGAAGTAAAAGAGCTGAACAGAAGATTTCAAAGGGCAGCTCTAGAAGACAAAGTATATAATGACTTGTGCAAAGATCTAGAGTTAGAAAACCAAAAAGGAAGAACACGCTCACTCAGCATTTCTGAAGCTGAAAGAACTGAAGAAAAAATTCAAGCCTTGAGTTGCAATACTGAAAGATTCTGTACGAAAAATACTAAACAACACAGGAAGCATCAAAAGAAGATGGAAGGAATACACAAAGTCACTATACCAAAAAGAACTGGTGAATGTTCAACTATTTCTGAAGGTGGCATATGATCAGGAATCAATGCTAATGAAGGAGGAGGCCCAAGCTGCACTGAAGGCACTGGTGAAAAACAAGGCTCCAAACTTGACAGAATACCAATTGAGATGTTTCACAAACGGATGCAGTGCTGGAAACATTCACTTGTCTATGCCAAGAAATTCAGAAGACAGCTACCTGGCCAACCAACTTGAAGAAATCCATATTTATGCCTATTTCAAAGAAAGGTGATCCAACCAAATGCAGAAAATATCGAACATTATCATTAATATCACATACAAGTAAAATTTTGCTGAAGATGGTTCAAAAGCGGCTGCAGCAGTACATCAACAGGAAACTGCCAGAAATTCAAGCAGGATTCAGAAGAGGACATGGAACCAGAGATACCATTGCTGATGTCAGACGGATCCTGGCTGAAAGTAGAGAATACCAGAAAGATGTTTAACTGTGTTTTATTGACTATGCAAAGGCATTTGACTGTGTGGATCATAAAAAATTATGGATGACATTGAGAAGAATGAGAATTCCAGAACGCTGAACTGTGCTCATGAGGAACGTACACAGATCAAGAGGCAGTCGTTCACACAGCAGATGGGGATACTGCGTGGTTTAAAATTAGAAAAGGTGTGCGTCAGGGTTGTATCCTTTCACCATACTTATTCAATCTGTATGCTGAGCAAATAATCTGAGAAGCTGGACTATACGAAGAAGAACAGGCATCAGGATTGGAGGAAGATTCATTAACAACCTGCGTTATGCAGATGACACAATCTTGCTTGCTGAAAGTGAAGAGGACTTGAAGCAGTTACTGATGAAAATCAAAGACTACAGCCTTCAATATGGATTACACCTCAACATAAAGAAAACAAACATCCTCACAACGGGACCAATAAGCAACATCATGATAAACAGAGAAAAGACTAAAGTTGTAATTGATTTCATTTTACTTGGATCCACAATCAATACCCATGGAGGCAGCAGCCAAGAAATCAAATGACACATTGCACTGGGCAAATCTGCTGCAAAAGACCTCCTTAAAGTGTTAAAAAGCAAGATGTCACCTTGAAGACTAAGGTGTGCCTGACCCAAGCCATGGTGTTTTCAATGGCCTCATGTGCATGCGAAAGCTGGACGATGAATAAGGAAGACCGAAGAAGAACTGATAGCTTTGAATTCTGTTGGTGAAGAATACTGAGAACACCATGTACTGTCAAAAGAACGAACAAAATCTGTCTTGGAAAAAGTACAACCAGAGTGCTCCTTAGAAGCAAGGATGGTGAGACTCCATCTCACCTACTTTGGATATGTTATCAGCAGGGATCAGTCCCTGGAGAAGGACATCATGCCTGGTAAAGTAGAGGGTCAGCGAAAAAGAGGAATCCTCAACAAGATGAATTGACACAGTAGCTGCCAACAACGGGCTCAAGCATAACAATGACTGTGAGGATGGCGCAGGACTGGACAGTACTTTGTTCTGTTGTACATAGGGTTGCTATGAGTTGGAATGGACTCAACGGCACCTATCAACAACATTGGTCATTTTCTTGCCATCAAGTGCTTACCCCAAAGCATAAGTGGAAATGACGGTATAGAATGTAAACATCTTCCAGGGAGGAAGGTGCTTCAGTGCCTGCAACAGTACTTGGCACCAGAAGACACCAAGAAAACAGCCTTTTCCTAATGAAATTCAGTCACTTGTTTACAAATAACTGGGTGGAATCATCTGGCTTAATTTTGCCTTGAAAAGCCATCTCACTAAAATTTCTAAAATCCAGTAGTCAATGATCTTTAGGGAAATAAAATAAAATCTCCCTTTTAAAAAAGGCTGGCGACCGAAAGGGTACTCTAAGAAAAAGGAATAACATATAGAATGTTACAGAGGTATAACATCACATGGTCTGCTCTGGAAACAATGAGGGATGTGTTATAGGTAGAGCAGAGGGAGTGGCATACCATGCAAAAGAATTTTATCCTGTTAACTATGTCACATGGGGTCTCTATGAGTCGAAAACTGATCCCAAGGCACCTAACAACAGTACAATCAACTTTATTTCAGAAAGTTAACTCTAATTGCAAATGTGCTGGATTAAAAAACTGCAGGTAAAGAAATCAATTAAAAGGCAAGGGATTAATAAAAGGGGCAAGAAAGAAGAATCAATTGAATTTGCTTCAGAATTGAATAATATACATGTATGTACTTGTAGGTGTGTGTTTGTGGCGGGAGGGGAGCAGGATATAAATCTAACTTGAACCTTTACTGCCAAAACCTGATTCTTTTTAAGCACCCCTCCCTCTCCGCCATCTTTTTTTTTTTTCCAGTTGCCATTGATTCTGACTCCTGGAGACCTCGTGTGTATAAGCATAGAACTGTGCTCCATAGGGTTTTTGATGGCTGATTTTTGGGAACTAAATCGCCAGGGCTTTCTTCTAAGGCAGGTCTGGGTAGACTCAAACCTCCAACTTTTCGGTTAGCAGCTGAGCACATTAACTCCTTTTAAGCCCCTAGTGAATGTGAATAATTAATTGTCAAAACTTTCCATATGATTCACCCATCACATCCCATTGTTCAATTTTCTTTGGGACATTCCTTTTGAAGGCT